ACATAACATTATTAAGTCATACCGTACTCCATGTTATAATGTCTCATTTTATAAAACACTATCGTAAACTTATGTCTGTAAGTATGCTTATATGTATTTTTATATTCTCCTAAAATAACAATGCTTTTATATTAGGCAACATTAAATAAAAATTATGTTGTTATCCCATCATGCTATATTTTACTGTTCATTAGAGAATGTCATTGACTTTCTTGTCAGTCTTGTCACTAATTTGTATCACAACATGTGTATGATTCAACTGATGATAAATATTGCCTCGAAAATCATTTTTATGTTACTGTTTCAAGACAATTACAAATTAGCCAAAAAGCTAGGTCATTTTGCTTCTTTTGCAATTTGGAAATTAGTACAGATATAGTTATTTTGCAATTTTAGGAAAGCTTAAATACCACTAAGTGGCCAAAGGTATATTGAATATGCCGGTATGCCAATAAACTGAAACTAAACTAAAACCAACATTTTGCTACCTTTGTTAAAAATTGTTTCACATTCAATTCTATTTTCCCAAAGTGATATGTTTATATGAATATTACAACTTTATAGCCATACAATTTTACTCTTTCTATAGTATGTTTTTGTTTTTTATTAATTTTTAATAAAGCCGTTTAAAAATGTATAGTAAGTATGATTTTAACTGTCTATTACGAAAATCTTAAGATGTTTAATGATAATTATAACTATTTTGTAGTTTTTAAGCTTTATATATCTCATATGTTTTCTGTCATGTGATATATAAACAGTACTATTTGTGTTATATGTTCTGTTCATATATCATTCAATTTGACTGGTTATAATTATATAACACTTACTTTATTTTATATACAAACTTTAATATAATATCAAAACTTACAATATTCACTGACTTAATGTTTGTGAAATGTCGTTGTTTTGTAGATTGAAAAAAATCCTATGTAGAGGTATTTATACAATGTATTCTGCTCGGTTCTGTTCTTGTAAAATATTGCTTTAATTAAAACGGGTCATTTGATAACTAAATTAGTTTCTAATAATTTGAAATTTCATATAAATGCAATAGTTATGTAAGATTTACAAATTCTACAACATTTATCAAACTAATACTTTTCAAATCTTATAATATGAATTGATAATAAAATTAAATTATTGTCTAACATATTCTGGAATGTTTGAATGTCTAAGGGTTAGTTTGAAGGCATTAGGAGCATTGCGCGATATCTTAACTTTGAATGTCTAGAATGTATGTAATTCACATTCATGATTTATGTTAATACTAGACTTTTGATGATGTTCAAAACTTAAAATTAAAAACAAAAGCTGCAAAAATTGAATGTGATGGAATAATACCATTTTTTGTATGTTTTTGTCTGCTCGCCGTCAATGAAACATGACTATTAAAATGTGTATATTTTGAGGGTTATTTATAATGATATAACATCGGAATGCTTCGGTCCTATCTTTCGAAATTATTTTTGCATTCATTTTAGTTAGTGAAAAATAAAATTAACTTCTAAACATAACATTGCAATAATAAAGGATTGCACAATTGTCATATCAATATGATTATAAAATTCTAATTTTTAATAAATAATAACCTTTGTAATGCAAATCACTGTTTTAGTAGCTTCTACAATAAATAGTTATATAACACAATTTATATCTAATTCAGCGTTCTTTGATCTTAATAAATATTAAAATATTGTATATAAATATTTTGATGTAAAATTATTGGAAGAATAATATTACATTATTTTAAATAAACAATATACATATCTTATCAAAACAATATCTTTTACATTGAAGCATTTATCGTTTCGTCTAATTTTAATTATCTCTAAATCATTTCAGAATTTATACCGTTACCTAACATGTCGCAAAATGAATTTAAATTTACTTGTCGCAAAATGAATTTTAATTTGTAAACATAACTTTTACTGGACGTTTTATTGTGAAAGATAGATTTTATCCCATTGCCAATTTGTTTAAATTGTTTCCCGGGGATATTTCAATTACAAGCTAATATCTTTCTACCTAGTGCGATCCCCCTAGGTGGCGTTGCAATACGTCTGATGTACGTACTGATTTGCAGCAGACGAAAAAAAAGTTTTATTTTAAAATTGATCTAATAGAATTATCCTATTTCTAAAAGTATCTTATAATTACTTAAGTAAATGATAGCAATAATATAACTAATATCATACAAATGAATTACTAAGTAATTAAATTGATTTACTGAGTGTATTTAAACTATATTAAAAATGTACCAAAAGGCCGTATATTTGTAAGTCTGTATCTTAGTGAATACTAAAACCTGTTGGGCTATTTTCAAGTTCACATAGAAAAACTCCAGTTAAGTATCATATATAAGAATATGGAAAAATAAAAAAAATACAAAAAGAATATTGGCTATTTCTTATAGATGCTTTTTGTTGTTGTTATTGTTGTTTATGATGATGATGGTGATGGTGATGGTGATGATGATGATGGTTCTCTGACCGCAATCAACAGAATTACTTGTATTTACCTTACAGTTGCAGGCCGACATGCTGTTTTCTTACTTGTTGAGATTCGGATATAAACTAAAAATGGATGGTTCCAAATTCAACAAGGAGCAAATACGGTTCGCAACTTTAGCTGCGTTAATGTGTGGCGATGACAGACCACAAAAATAATGAACATATGTTTGAGTCTATTATGGTTAAGAGGCTTTATTTATTTGGTCTAAAGATTAAGATAATGTTTGAAAAGAAGTGACGATAACTGGATAACGCAACACCTTGTTCTAACCGAGAATTGTCCAGTTTATTTTCATATCACATACTTATCTCACCGATTCTATGATAAAAAGTGATAATTTCGCTAAATATATATAATAAAGAAATTACCTACAAGGACCATAATGAAGTATCAATAGAGCCTAATATTGTCGCGTATTTACAAAATAAAAATCTTATCACATCTTAGTATCACAGGCTGGGTGTTGGATAAAAATTGATTAACAGAGGCGGGGCAATACCTGAAACCGCCAGTAACTTGTCACTTTTTTCAAGAATATATGATAAGAATCTTTAGTGGTTAAATCAAATAATTTCGTGCGTGCAAAACTGACGGTGAAAAACGGTAAATTATCATAACGTTAAAAGTGCTTTATACCGCGACGTAATTAAACTGTCACAACCGTGTAGGTAGCCCTGTCCGCTCATATAATTTAACCGTTATGTGGAAACACGTTTCATATTTTGATATTTTTTCCGTTAATATATAAATAATATTTATGGTGATAACGGTATGTTAAATGAAGTCTTGTCGTGAATGATGTTTTTAGTTTCTTATGCTATATTAAAGATCAATGTCTTATTCTATGAAAGACGTCTACAATTTTATTGGAAATAAATAAAGGTGATATTGCGAATATAAAATATTCTAATAACATTTGGAAGTTTTAATAACATTGCATTTCACTGATTATATAGCGTTTTTTTTATACTTAACTTCATTCTAAAACGCCGTTTCACCAATGCTCAGTTATTGTTCTTTTAGAGTATTTTCTTGTTGATAAAAGATGTTCAAAATCAATTCAACAATACCACCCGATTGCAAATAAATAATTCTTTTGTAGGTAAGAAAAGAAATGAAAAATGTATTTTCTTTATCATTATTTGAATCCTTATTCAAAAAGCATTGGTTGAAAATCGAAATAATTAAAATATATGTTTCTAATTATATGTTGGTATTAATTTGAATATAATATGATAAACAATGTTCGATTTTATTGTTTTTAGGTTTTAAAAATTATTGCATGTTCTTGAAAAATGCATAAAATATTTCAAACAAATCTTTTTAATTTGAGTTTAGCTTCAATGACTGACTGACTAATATTTTGATTAAAATAATTGTGTTCTTATTTGCCGTATGTAATATATTCAGACCAGAATTGAACAAGCATGATCAAACGATAATGCCCGAAACTTTATTCATTTCTATAAAACTATATTTTCCGACATTTAACCTTTGAAATAACGTTAGTATTTTCCAGGTTTCTTCATGGCATTATCAATCTAGAATATTTTCACACCCAAGGGCCTTGAATATGATATATTTATTTAATGTTTAATTGCATCCAATAAAATCAGATTTATTTGATAAATATGACAATTACTCTAGAGCTAATAATTTAGACCAGACCAACCATTTTCATTAAAATTTCACGTAATCAAATTAATCAGAGAAGATCAAAGCGCATATGTCTCCATACCGCCATTTCAGCAATATGAATAAAATCTATTAACGCAAATTCAGATACTGTTCTGATCTTAAACAAATCAATTTATTGAGTATAACAGGTTAAGAAATTTAAATTCGGGCTTTTATATCAATTGAATAAAACGCAACAGTTAATGTATTAAACGAAAAACATTTGTACTGTTATTTCTGACACTAATTTAGCCGATCTATCATAATCTGCGAGTGTAAAAATATCAATTGAGTAACATTAATTTCACAATAATAATCAAATATTAATCAATAGTGATTTATTAAGTTAAATAAAACCACATCATTATATCTCTTTAGTAACATTTTTTTTTAATTTTTAGTTCTTGTACAATGTATATCAAACCTTAGAATGTTTTTATGTCATTTGAATTATTTTCTGCCATTTAAAACTATATATAGATTCTGGTTATTATCTAGCCATGTCTTTCAAAGGATTTACCAATATAAATATCTATTTATCAGAAGAGATATACTAGTAACAATGAGAAATTATTCTTAATAAGGAATAATAAATAATAAGAATTTAAGAAGAAAATTTTGAGTCACCTGTCACTGGAAACAACATTATTTTGATTATTTTTGTATGTCTGCAAAGACATCTGTGTAGAATATTTCTGTATATCAAACTTCAAAACAATATAAACATATATGACTTTCACAAAATCGTTTTAAAAATTAAACAAATAATAGATCAATGACAATGAAATAGATATATAAATAGAACAAACCTGTTTTTCGCTGCTGCGGCCCGATCTCTCTGCCTTCTATTCTTGAACCAGTTTCCAACTTGGGTCGGTGTCAGACCTGTAGCCTGTGCAAGTTCACGTTTCTTTGTCGGGTTCGGATATGGGTCTTGTAAATACCATTCACGGAGGAGGTTTCTGGTTCGTTCCTTAAAACAGTGCGTCTTCTGCTCACCGTCCCAAATGGTTCTAGGTAATGGAAACTTCTTGCGTACCCTGTACTTGTCAACTGGGCCAAGTGGCCGACCACGGAGTTTCTCGGCCTCCTGGTAATGAGATTCCAGCCACATTGCTTGAAGTTTGGCATGAGATGCCTTCCCGAACTTATGAGACTCAATGATATGGTACAAGTCCCTGTAGTTACCAGTATGGAAGCAAACCAGGCAGCGTGCACGAAGAATTGACTCATGTTTGTTAAGGGCCTCCAGTGCCGACGGATTGACCGGTAATGACCATAGGAACCGTCCGAGTCTTTCAATGTCACCACTCTCTTCTAAAGTTTCACAAACTTGCGCCACTTGCTGCGGTGTAAAATGCAACGTCGGTAGAGCGAACATATCGACGCAGTGGTGTACTTCACAAAGTAAAAAGTCTACAGTTTATACTGTTTTAAATAATGTGTATCCTTTATTTTATCCTCTTTAACAAAGTCTCGAAAAATCACAGGTGATATATGACAACCGATTTAATGTTTTGTTTTCGCACCGTCATATCTTAAAATGGATAGGCGATTCCTTTCAAGTTGTCTATTATACATCTTTTTGATAGTGGTATTTAATATTAAGCTAAGGGGAGGTTCAGACGACGAGAATGTCAAATTTTATATCTGTTTTATTGGACGTGTATTATCTCTAATTCATATCGCTAATATTTCTCCGCGCTATTGGGCGATGTCATATCAATGATCTTGGTTACCGCTTAGCAACTGTCAATCATATACGGCGCTCAATATAACATACAACTGTACAGTAAATAAATCACGTGGCGAAATGGGGCGGAGCGTTCGGACTTAAGTTTTTTCAACGTTAAACATTATGATATTTACAAATACTTGAAATATGGATGAAGAATTATAACTTGAACGAGATAGTTTAGTGTAAATGATCGTGATGTGGCTTATTTGAGCCGGCCCAGGTGGACAGATAAGTGCCAGCGTTTATCTGCGATATTAAGATAGGAAATAACAACATTCCGGACTATCATACCCTGTTTCATCATTTATGATAGGGTGATATCAAAATGAAACCCACGATAGCATGTGTATGTTTTTCTGTACAAAAACAAGTGATCTATTTGTTAACAAATAAGACCAAGTTTTCATGCACTTTGCTTGAACATGCATTCTGAAGCCAATAAGGACATCAAATATTTTAGCTTAGTAAATAGGAAATTCATAAAATTACCAGCACTTAAGCTTTATATGATCACTTTATTATCATATCATATTACAACATAAAATTTATCATTTATATACATATGTATTAAATATAACATATTATATTAGCAAACTAAATTTTAATAGATGAAAATGAACAAATAAAATATAAAATGTAACTATAAGTGATTATATACGATAAATGCATTGTCCACGAACTAAATTATATAAAATTATTTTAAAAAAAAGACCAGTGTAAATCTTAATACAACTATCATTTATATTATTGGACTATATTCTAAATAGATTTGTAATAAACATTAAAGTTCACATGAAATGCAGCACCTATATCGGTGTATATCAGGGGAACAGTGTATATATCTTGTTATAACTATATATAAAACTGTCAGGTAAAACCACCAAATAATGATACTGTTACATCAAAATATGTTCAATAACTCTAAAACTGACAAAAACTTTATGAAAATGGTACACATTAAAATCTCTATTTACTGTTTTGGCTTGATCAATCATTCAAGCACGTTTACGGTTTTTCATGAACAATTTATTCATTGGTTCGTCATTCATTCATTCATTCATTCATTCATTCATTCATTCATTCATTCAGGGCGTGTTTTTTTTTCGTATCATATTGTTCAGTTTTAAAACGAGAGAAATAGAATCTAGTAAAGATGAATTTTACTTCATAATGCAGTTGTATAGTTGCTGCGCAAGACGAAAAAAATAAACACAGTTGTATTTTTATTGTGAGAAGAAACAATGAAAGTATGTATCAGGTGTAAAGAATCATTTTTACAATTAGCACAGGTGGAGCGATTTAGCGACAAATCTCCCGCAAAGCAATAAATATCTAATACTTTTAGCTTCTTACAGAAAGGGAGTCATGTTTATTTACATGAATGTGTAATTTTGATGACAATATTATAATTTATTAAAAGTGTCAAACGCTTTCCATTCATAGATCATGTTCAAGGAATTAGAAATATATACAAATACCCCAAAGATCTCATAATCAAAATGCGAATGTTAAGTTAAAATCCACCTATCTTTATCTTGTATTGAAAAGTCATGACTAAGTGCAGATTTTCTCAACTATTTCTATAATAGAATAAAAATGTTGCGATATTGTTAATAATTTGAATTGTTTAATACATCTTGTAGAGGACTGATAAAGAAATGAGATGCGAGATGTCATTGCATTATTATGGTATTGAGGAATGACGTTGCAAATTATTATGTAACCGTGCGCTACGTGCATAAGAAACTGATGTCGGGACTCGTACATAAAAATTGTAATAAAATGAATATGGATTAAAAGATAAATTAAAATGTGCACGGGTGCAATTGTGGTTCATGTTATGTTCTTATAAATTAAACATACGGTTATTTTCCTGAATTGATGCACGATATTTCACGCGTAACAAGCTGCGAGTTTTTCCTCCCGTTTATCAACTTAGTTAAAAGTTTGCTGTGTAAATATACGAGAGGGGGAGACCTTATACAATTTATTAATAAAACTGGGTAGCTAACTTCGTAAAGTGATACCCGTCTTCAAATAGAATTTCATAACGCTATTTTAACCACAGTGTCAAAACGACAGCCTGATTAAATAAAACCATGATTCTTTTCATACTCGTAATATTTACAAAAGAGACAGTGTTTACTTTGTTTGTTTCATAAAATCACGGATGATATTTAAAAATCTTTCAACAATTAAATCATTTAATACTCTAACTCAAAAGATGGTAATGAATTCTTTCCATTTACAAATATTTAAACACGGGACTAACGTCCGATAACCAATATAATAATTTATCAAAAGAATATACACCGATGCTTTCTTTCTTTCTTTCTTTCTTTCTTTCTTTCTTTCTTTCTTTCTTTCTTTCTTTCTTTCTTTCTTTCTTTCCACCTTTCTTTTTACAAAGGAAATGACGTCAACAGAGTGTTTCTTAAATCTTAGCATAAGACATTCTGGAGACTGGCTAAATAATGCGTACGGATATTCAATGATAAAATGTCATATATTGATAATTTTTCGTATGCTTTTCAAATGTTAAAACACAACTGTTTATCATTCATCAAATGATTTGCTTCTTCAAACCACATTTCCTAATAAAACTTTATATTTCAGCAGAACAATAACGAGTAACAATTACACATAACCGCTATCATCAATATTTTAGGAAATAAAACCATTTATTTATTAGATTTTACAGTTTATTAATGGTTGACCACAGGTGTACCACTTTTCTCTGAAGTACAATAATCAGTTGTTAATACGTAACCGAGAAGTATGGTTCGAACCACAGTGTATATCCACAGTGATTCACAGTTATTACTACAACACAGCAGAATGAACACCAATATTAACGACTTTATTATAAACTGTTTATACAATTGCATTTAAAAGCTTCATAAGATTATAAAATATTGGCTCAAACATAAAAATATTGCGGACATCAAAGATTCGGTTGTTATACAATAATTGATAATCAATGTCTACCAATATAATAGTTTTATTGGTGAAAAAAGTGTCGTCTGCTGTTATGATCAAATACGCGGGAAATGTATGTTCAGGTAACATAGAATACTCGTATATGCACAAACCCTTCAAAGTAGGCTAAAATACATGTATATTGAAGAACCAAAACATAGTACCGGAATATTTACAAATAAATTAGTTTAAAAAAAAAGTAAAAATAATTGGGGTTTTTTCTGTAGGCCACACGTCACTTTGCAACATAACTTTGTCTTTTTAATTAATATTTTTAGAAGACTCATTAATGTAAACTTTATCTAATATATCAACAGACACTATCGTGCCAATGTTTTCCGCATACCAAATATTTGTGAATTTTCTTTAATCAAACTAATTGAAACCATAGAAATAATTAAAAGAAACAAAAATCTATGCCATTAAAATTTGAGACAACCAAAATAAAACAACATATATACTTTTTCGTTGGAAAATAAGTTTTGCTTTAACAATAAAAAGCACTTTGGTTTAGTCAGATCCAAGAAAGACAAGTCTGAATTAATTCTGGTGGAAATCGAGGGTTAGTTAACATTGTTATTCGTCAACGTGACCAATTTCCTACAAAGTTAATAACGTTCAAGATAAGTTTTTATTTTGTAATTACAATTTCTACAGTTTGTCAACTTTTTGACATTTTCCATATCTTGTCAGCTGCATTGTGGGAGACAAAACGAACCCCATCTTTTCTCGCCTCTAATAATGAAGAGTGTTGAAAAGTAACACGTGGTGGATGAAGGTGAGAGTAATGGCCGTCATGTGCGGTTAAAGTAACATACTTTTTGTCAAACGTCATCTACTCTGTAGACTTCTTGCGATATACACAATCTTATTAAGTTTGGACGAAAAACTATCCCGCTGTTTCGAGTTTTATGTAATTATCATTATTTTTTTTGTTGCTATAAATGTCACAGTTCCTAATTTACTGCACTGAAAAGACAAGGAGAGAAAGACAATACCTCATTTGCATTTAAGGCGCTTTTACGACATGCAAATAAAACATGATTTACGGATTCGTCCGAAAAGTTTGTTGTTGTTGTTGCATTTTCGTCTAAACTCTATGCCAATTGTATCAACTTCCGGTCCAGTAAACTGCTCAGTCTGCTTTTACAAATAGCAGTACAATATGACACACGAGAAATGATAGTTGATATTTATCCTGTCTTTAAACAAAACTTAATATGTTGAAGTAACAGCTGTATTGGGAAGAGATTAGCCGACTATCTTAACAAGTTAATGCTTTTTGTTGATTTTATGTAGGGACCATTAAGAAGGCTGTTGATTCAGGGGACTTAATACAAGGTAAATATTTGTACGCGGCAGTAGAGACCGATCTGACCAGAGACGCGTGGATACTATGACACGGATTAGCCTCCCACAATTTGAAACATTGTTTCCAAAAAAGATGAAGTTAACCACTTAAAGTTTATTCAGTGCTAATTTTTTTTTAATTTCCCGCGCTTTTACTATATCTTATTTAAATATTTATTTTCAGTATCATGAAGAAATATTTTATTTTAAAGAAGACTTAAATTTATAAATTTCCTAGAATATATGCGTGTATTCTTTTCCAATAATAAATTCTGCTTTTAGGCCCTGTACAGATATGATTTATTTCCCCCGTGCCAATTAGGGTCATTTGGTTAGGAATTAAGGAAGAACTGACAACAACAAAGGCACGTGGCATTTGTCGGGATTATACTTCGACGAGTGTTTGCAGTGACTACATGGAAAAAAGATTCCCAGCGCTGAGTAACATTTACTTTAAACCGTCTTAAGTGGAAAACACTGGAAAATCTAATTTAAGATCAATGTCTGAATGGTCCTGAGGCGGAAA